CGGGGGAAAGGGGTGTGGGGGATGCGGGAAGAGACTGGACAAAAATCGTGCACTTATGGATGAGGACAGTGTGGGGGGAGGTGAGGGCGGAGGGTGGGGTGGGAACCGGTCGAGGGGAGCTATGGGGGGAAAAAAGAGGAACTGTAATAATCTGAACAATAAAGATTTAATTTTAAAAAATGTTTACTGAATGTCTATTATATATGCTAGACATGTTCCATGGTCCAAGTATATGGGGGTGAACAAAAAGTCAAGTTCCCTGCCCACTTGGACTTCACCTTTCCTGTGCAATTAAGGGGCAAATAAGCGGTGCTGTAATTGTATCTTATTAGGGTACTGTCACGCTATTAAAAGGACTTCTAATTTGTAAAAGTTAGCAATATCAAAAACAAACCCCCCAAAATGCCATAGAAAACTGGAGTGTATTCATGTGAAGTCACATTATGTGGTTGTCAAGAAGTCTAAGCATTTTCCATATAAGATATGCTTATGTGATGTGAACAGAGTGGGATATAAAATTGGACATATCATCTCACCTATGTTTATTTTTTAATTAAAAAAAGACTGGTCAAAAGTGCACTAAAAAAATAAAATAAAGTAAAAAAGTGCACTAAAATGCTGAATTTTAATATATTTAGATGGTTGGGGTGTAGGCAATTACTAGTTTTCGATATTTTCAACAGCAGAAGATACCTTTTTAAAGCATATTAGATATTTTACAAAGTCTTTGAAAATGTCACTTAATGCCAAAGATACATCTAGTCCTTTTTACCTCTTTTAAGTAAACAAGAAAGTTTGAAGCAAAGTTTTAAAACAGCAGGAAAAGGCAGGCTCTTCGGGCTACTTCCTTGAGTCCAAATGTTTTTTCTCTCGAATGAAGACAAGTTTTCATATACTCTCATATGCAGTAAGCAGAACCAACTGTAAAATGGAATGTGTAGGGCTGCCCTGTCTGCTGTCCAATACAAACATTACACAAGCTGCCTGTTTGATTTTGAATTCTCTAGTAGCCATATTAAAAAAGAAAGATGAAGTTAATTTTAATCATCTTATGTACCCAATGAACCCAAAGAACTTTCATTTTATGACATAATCACTATAAGAATTTATTAGTGAGATATTCTACATTCATTTTCTCTCTCTCTCTCTCTCTTTCTCTCTCTCTCAAGTCTTCGGAGATTAGGTGTGCCTACTCACAGCACATCTTAACTGGACCCGCCACATTTCCAGAGCTCAAGAGCCTCTTGGTGCCGAGTGGCTGCCACACGGCAGCGCAGGCCTAAAGCAACTGAAAACATCAGAAAGCACCAAGAGATACTTTGTCAACAACGACCATTTAAAATGTAATATTAGAAACCGGAGTACTTACTGAATGATCCGATTTTATGAAGTTCTCAAACAGGCAAAACTAAGCTATGCTAGAAACCAAGGTGGGGGGGGGGGCGTGTGGATCGTCTGGAAGGGACACGAAGCAACTTTCTGGAGTGATGGAAACGGTCTACGCGTCAGGGTAGTGGTTCCACGGGTGCAGAATTTGTCAGACCCTGATCTGCACATTTAAACAGGGGACATTTTACGACATGTAAATTGCACATCAAACCTGTAAAAATCGCTGCCAAAAGAAAGCTATTTGTCACGGCGGCGGCACCGTGCGCCCTGAGGAGCTGATGTGGGGGAAACGGGAGGTAGTTGTTTAACGAGCGAGCGCGCTGGGCGCGGGGACAGAGAGGCCCTTTCCCTCCGCGCGGGGCTTCACTTCCGCCAACGCCATCTCGGGGCTCCCGGGGCTCCCGAG